AAGAAATTACAGCTAATAGTGTTAATCTTGTGAAAGACTTATGATGGCAACCACATACATAATGTAAAAACAAATGTACAGAAAAAAAGAAAACCCAGACCCTTGGCTTTCATTTTACTCGCAATTCAGCATAGCAAAGAAGTAGGGAAAAAACACCAGCCTTAAGAATCAAGGACCAGGGAGATAGCTCAGTAGAATAAGCACTTGCCTGGCAAGCGCAGGGTCCTGAGTTCAATGCCCAGTACTGTAAAAAAAAAAAAAAAAAAAGAATCAAATATGTCTTTAGCAAGGCATATTGCACACACTTAAAAAAAAAAAAAGTAGTTGGGAAAGCTGAGGCAGAAAGATCACTGTGCACTTTCTTTGTCTTCAAGCCAGCCTGAACTACATCATGAGATCTTGTCTCAAAAAAGCAAAACAACAAAAAGAATCAAATTTGCTTTTCCTTAGTTTTTCTCCTCTGTACTAATGTGGTAGGTACTGTGTGTACGTATAGTACTAAAATGGCAGTGTGTGTGCAAGAGTGTACCTCTTTCCCTAGCTGCATTGCAGATCAAACCCAAGGACTTACACACCACAAGTGCACCACCACTGAACTACATACCCAGCCCAGCAGGTTATACTTTTAGATCTACCTTCAGGATGTCATAAAGGTTGTCAATATTGACTATTAAAATCTTCCGTAATTCTCATTTAAAAAAAACAAATGTTGGTTAATAGTTGTTTCTTTTTTTCAACTGTAAAAAGAAATTACAGGGTCCAGGATATAGTTCAGTGGCACAAGTGCCTGCCTGGCAAGTGGGTTCGATTCCCTGTACCAAAAAAATAATAATAATAATAATAATAATAATAAAATAACCCAAGAAATTACAGCTAATAGTGTTAATCTTGTGAAAGACTTATGATGGCAACCACATACATAATGTAAAAACAAATGTACAGAATAGTGGATACGATCAATATGAATGTGTCCTCTATTTAACAGTAAGAGGAAAAACAAATTTTAAAACACTAGATTACAAATAAGAAATATGAATACTTGCCTCTCAATACGACTAAAATTGAACATGGTTTTATTTTTCCTGACTTCAAATGCAATCAAGAAATTGTAGGAATTACATTACAAAAGATAACAGGGAGAGAGCCCAGTGGCAGAAGTAACTGCCTGGCAAGCACAAGGTCCTGAGTTTGATCTTTGGTACCAAAAAAAAAAAAAAAAGTCTCTCTTTCTCTAGATTACAAAAGACAAATTATCACCTGAAATTGAATGTACCTTTTCCCTAAAAGTACAACTACAAGTTACAGAAAGTACTGCCTAAAACACTGTAGTAATTGTCTTCCCTTCCTGAAATCATCAGACTACAACCTCCCAAACTCTCTTGACTCAATCTCTCCAAAACAAGAGAGAAGAAACTGTTTAAACTTTCAGAAGTGCTTTCCAACAAAAGTTGAAGTGTATATAGGCAGCCAAGTGCGAATGGCAGAAGGAAAGGAGAGGAAAATGTGCCATTTAAAAAATGTCTTCACTGGACAGGGTGGTCCATGTTCCTGATCCCAGTACATGAGTTCAGAGCAGCCTGAAATATACATCTGCCTCAAAAAACAAAAGGTAAAAACCACATTATATAATATCTTGATCCAAGCTTTTAAGTTATCCCTAAAGAAAAAAGAATAAAACAAGCGACATAAAAGCAATTTACCATTTTCTTAAAATAGGACTGTTTCAGTAACTAGATGAACATTCTACTATCCATAAAGCAGAAAATATACTACCTTTATTCAACACCAATAAACTCTATAATGTTGAACATATTCATGTTAAGTATTTGTGTACAGAAAATCATTTCCTCTACGTTGGTCATGGAGAAAGGGGTGCTCTGATTTCACTCATTCTTGAAGTTCTGTCTAAATTTTACCTCTGCAAGGTAGAACTTTAGGTTCCTTTCTCAGTCAACATTATCCAAGTTCAACTTGCAGGCAGGCAATTCTTTTTGCTTGCAAAGCGAGTTGTAAATTGTAACAATACATTTCGGAAGTATTTGTTGACCTTAATGTTTGCAATCCTTGCTTGTATTCTCTGGATGAAAAGTGCTGACGAAAAAAGGCTACAAAGTATTTTCTTAAGACACCAGCTGCCGCCCCAACCGAGAAGCTTTTTCATTAACCCTACCCGTTAAGAGGAATGAAGGATTCTCACACGGACAGATTAGGCAACTGCCCCCCTCTATATCCTCATTTAAACCAAATTCCACAGAAACGACTTACCTTGTATGACATGCTCTGGTGAGATAGTCTTCTTTTCTGATTTGTTGCAAATCTCATTGGCTTCAGATGATATAAGGTGAATGAATTCAGTGCAGCAGTTCACCACCAGCTCTCGGGCATCGTTGGCCACCCGGACATTGGGAAGAGTCTCTTTGATCATCTTATTGATAGCAGCTCTGGGGATAGTGAGATCATCATCGTTGCCAGATGAGGAAGCCATCGTATCTTCCTGTCTTTCTGAGCTCCGACTTTTAAAAACGGGACCGGCTCTGGTCCACTACTTCACAGAGACTTCTCAAAAGGCCGCCTCTGACAATGACCCCTGGAGCACTCTTAGAAGAGGGTAGAAAAAATGAGGAAGGGAGGATAAGCTGGCACCAGAGGACGGAATCCTCGATTCTGACAGATTCAGGAAGCGTTTGAGAGGAAAGTGGGGGGAGGGGAAGGGGGGAAAGGGGTCTGAGGACTCTGGGGACACCACTGCCTAGGTTGCAGAGGGGAGAGCAAAGTGGTGCGGAAATATGAGTGACTATGAACCACCTTCGCGTCTTCTCAAAGGGGCGGTAGCTGTCGCCTCGGCGCCGAAGCCGGGCAAGACCTGGAGGAACAAGCCTCGCCTCGGCGCTGGCCGGACACCCAGCAGGCTCGCTCTACAGAGCTCGAGCCCCAGCTGCCGCCCCCGCCAGCAGCCGCTGCCGCCGCCTCGGCCAAACCATCCTTCAGACACCCGCGCCGCCGCCTCACAACATGTCGGCCGCTACCGCCGCTTGAACTGCGGCAGCCGCCCGGGAACGAATAGAAACAGAGGAAAGCACGAGGGAAGTTTCTGAGGAGGACGCCGTGGCAGTTCAGCTGGAAAGCAGGTCTTGGAGCGCGAAACGGCGGCAGCAGCACTCTCTCCCAGAGGCCGAGGAAGAAGGTTTGCTTAGAAGTTGCTCCCGACAACCTTTGCGCCAGCGGAAGTCTCGCTCCTTAGGTCCCAGCCTCCCTCCGAGCCTGACTTCCGGCTGTGCCTGTCGCCCTTCCCCCTCCCTGGCGGCGGGAACCGCCTGTTCTCACCGCTAGCAGCTTCCGCTTCTGGAGGTCCGCCACGCGCCCCGGGACCCCGGTCCTTTCTACCCGGATGGTGGCGAGACGCGCGCGCGCCTCGCTCTTTTGGAGTCGCCAGAGCAATTGCCGCAGGGCTGGGCGTTTCCCAAGAAGGGCGGGCGGGGTGGACGGACGAGGTTGGGTACTTCTGTGCTTCGGAACTACAACAGACTTCAGAATCTTCACGTGTGGAGACAAAGGAACGCTGTCTATTGCTCTAAAAGAGTTGGTTACTTGTTACTCTTTTAGAACCCGGAATTGAGATTGAAAGCGAGAGCAAGGGCCGGAGAGTGAAAGGCCGGAAAGCAGCACTCTACCACATTTGGAGAAAAGGCTTTTAAAGATAATGTAGGTGACGTTATTGCGAACAGAGCTCTGTAGCCTTCCACCCATTTTCTCGTTTATTGGGAAAAGAAACGTTCAGAAAAGTGACTTGCCCTGGCACTACAAATGGCTAAATCGGAAGCTAAAAGTCAGATCTTACGCAGTGGAATGCGTTTGCGTACAGTATGCCTACTACAAAGGTCCAGTTTAGCCATTTTTCATGGGTCATCGAAGGATGGCTTCTGAAGAGCGAAAAAAGTATGTATGTTAGAGCATCTTAAGTAACTGATTTTTGTTTGTTTTCGAGATCTCGGCGTGTAGTTAAGAGCAGCCTCAAGCTCACTAGTGGCAGTCCTTCCTCAGCCTCCGTAGTGCTGGGATTGCCGGCGTGTGCCACTACACCCGGCTTAAGTAACTAGTTTTTGCCTCTGTAGAGAACCACTAGTAATACCAATGAATGTCAGATTTTTAACAGAAATTACATTACTTTTGAAAACCAAAGTTTTCCTGTAGTCTTGTGGAAGAAGACTTACAAATGATGGGATGTTGTGATTTCTAAAACCATAAACCATTTAAATCCTTTTGAGCACTTCATCAGGTTATCATGAATATTACATGCAAACTGGCATGTTTGGAGTGTTTTCTTAAACTATTTGGTTTCCTGGAGCCGTTACAACTGTTTCATTTTGTGATGCTCAATATAAAACCCAGGGCCACAAACATACCAGACAACCACTCTACCATTAAACTGAGCTCCTAAACCCTTATTTCTTCGTTTAATTTTTTGTCCAGGACACTTACTCCGTTCTTCAGTTTCTGAAGTTCACACATCCATTTTTCAGTGTTGCTCAGTTTAGTCGGGACCAAATTGCTTTGATAAAAATGGTATTCTAAGTGTGGAGTAGTGGCACGCACCACTACTTGCACCAGGAAACTGAGGCAACAGGATCATGGCAGGGTATCATGAGACCACACTGAACTACACCGAGAACCTGTCTCAAAACATAGGTAAACAATAGTTTTCTTTCTTAAAAATAAGAACTTGGCCAGGTGTTGTGCATGACTGTAATCCCAGCTACTTCAGAGGATGAGGTCTTAGAGGCTAATCAATTTGAGGCTAGCCTAAGCAATATTGAGACCTCGTCTCAAAATGTAAAAAAAAATTAAATTTTTCGAAAAGTGGCTAGTGATGTAACTCAGGACCAGGGATGGATACTTGCCTAGTATGCTCAAGTTCTTCGCTTCAACACTGCAAAAGAAAAATTAAGCTTTTGGCACATCTATCTTGCAAAAAATGTCCCTAGAGTTGTCACGTAGTCACTGAGCCAAATCTTACCCTCCTAAAAAAAAAAAAAAAAAAAATGTTTTTTGCTTTCTGATTTATAAACTTAAAAATATAGATCAGTAGAATAAGCATGTCAAGTTGTTATTTCAGTAATAGGGTATTACTACAGGGTTCTGTGGTAGTATGAGTAGCATAAGTAGTAAAAGAGGAAAAAACGAATTAAAGAAGAAAATATGTCAGGAAATATTCAAAAGAACCCAAGAAACATAATGGGGAGAGCCTTGCAAGGGGGTGAGGAGGCCCTTAAACAGGCTGGGTGAGAGGCTGAGGTAGGAGGATCACTGCAAGTTTGAGGCCAACCAGGGCTACATAGCAAGTTCAAGGCCAGCCTGATTTAGACCCTATTTCAAATAACCTTAGAAAAAAAAAAAGGTGAGATACCACAGAAGAGGATCAAAAATAGTGTCACTGAATTAAAGGTCAAGTGGAAATAAATCACTATGGAAAGAATTGAACTAGAAGAATGGAAACCAGGCAGCAGAGAATATACTTTTTTTTTTTTTTTTTTTTCTGAGAGTGAATACTCCTTAGAAGTTTGGTAATAAAGGGAAAGGAAGTAAAGAGAACAGTATGAAGAGGAAGCAAAGTTGGAAGGATTGCAAAGTCTAAAAGACTTATGTAATTTACGGGAAAGGAGCAAGCGGAGGTTAAATTGAAATACAGCAAAATACAGTCTTAAGGAAATAGAGGATAAAATTGAAAAAGCACAGACAGTGGTCAGAATTAATATAGATCTGAGCATATTTCACAGAAAAGTTGAAGGCAGGATTGAATGATTATAGGTAGTGACTACAAAGAGATTAACAGCAGACGGAAATCTTTTACAGAATAACCACAGGCAAAGACAGGAGTGATGAGAGAAATAACAAAAATAAGTTGGCAAATTCATTATCAAAGAAGTGGACACAAAACTGACCATGTTTTACAAAAGTAGGAAATAGCCAAAAGTGTTAAAGAGAATAAACACTGGAAATAAATGGTATTCCTCTAGTGATATTTGTATAAACAATTCATGAACAAAAGCCTTAAAGCCCTTCCTTTTGTCTGTTCAGTTAAAACTGATAAATTTCATCTAAGCATGGTGGTGCTGAAGCAGGAGGATCAGGATCAGTGTGAGTTCAAGGCCAGCATGTGCTACAAAATTAAGTTCAAGCCCAGCCTGAACTGCATAGTGAAATCCTGTCACAAAAAGACAAAAAAAGAAAGTGATATATTTCCATAGCTCTATTAATAAAAATTTTTTCTACATGTCAACTCTGACACTTAACTCAAAAATTTAGGAGTGAATAAAAAATATTTTTAACTCTACATGAAAAATTTAAAATAGAATACAGAGTGTTTTATTTCAAATGACATAATTTTGGATCTAATTCAAAATTTGTTTAAACTAATTTTGTTTAAAAAGCATTTGCTGGGGCAGGAAGATCAAATTCGTGACCAGTCAGGGAAACTTAGACCTTGTTTCAAAAAATAAAAGGGGGCTGGGGAGATGGCTCAGTAGACTAAGTGCTTGCCTGGCAAGTGCAGGGGTCTCAGTTCAATCCCCAGTTCCATCAAAAAACAAAAGGATAGCTCAGTAGAATAAGCTCTTACCACAAGCACAAGGGTCTGAGTTCAATCCCGAAAAAAAAAAAAAAAAAAAAAAGAATTTGCAGCAAACTAAAAACCTACTTCTGTAAATTCTATTTATTCATTCATTGCTTTCCTTCAACAAATGCTTATTAGGTGTCTGTCTTATACTTAGGTAGGCACTGGAGATATGGAAGGATAGAATAATAAACAGGGTAATGTTTATTGCCTGCTGCCGGAAGAAATAGTACCAAAGTAAGAAAAATAAAATCAAATTGATAATATGAAAAGGTAACTTAACTTTCTAAAGCAAATGAGAATTACAGTAAATCTACTTGAAAGACCATTAATAAAACCATTAAAGGGCTGGGGAGACAGCTCAGTGGCATAAACAGGTGACTGGCATACACAAGGTCCCAAGTTCAATCCTTGGCTCCACACACAAAAATAAAAAAATAAAAAAATGCTTGTGAAGATTAAGTATAAATATGGTACTTTTCTTGGGCTGGCCAGTTAATTCAGTGGATTAAAGCACCTATTTAGGCAGACACAAGGACCGGGATTGGATCACCAGCCTGCCATGCCAGCCCCACTCTCCAGGGCACGCTGAGCTGGCTTTTGAGACTGGGCATGGTGGCATGTCCCTGTAATCCCAGCACTTGGGAGGTTGAAAAACAGGAAGGATCACTATGAGCCCTATCTGTGTGGTGAGATCCTGTAGACCCTGTATTAAATACATAAAAAAGTATGAATATGGTATTTCTATTTTAGTATTAAGGCAGAATAAATCTTTGTTCTCAAGATGATATACAAATACATGTAAGAACAAATACAGGCACAATAGAAATTCAAAAATTAACATATTGGAATAAAAAAGATTATTGGTGAGGTCAGGGAGATACCTCAGAGGCATAGGCACTTGCCTGGCTAGCCCAAGGTCCGGAATTTGATCCCTAGTGCCACAAAAAAAACCCAAAAACAAACAAAAAGATTATTGGTGATTTATTTTCCCTTAATTTTTATATTAACATTTGAAATGTAATAATTATTTTAAAACAATAGCAAACTATGAAATGTGTTATTTCTACTGATTTATAAATATGTCCCTTCTTAGCAGAGTGTGGTGGTACACACGTGTAATCCCAGCACTTGGGAGGCTAAGGTGTGAGGCCAGCCTGAACTGCATTTCACAAAAAAAAAAAAGAAAAAAGTCTTCTTTATATTCACAATAGGACTTATAAAATCTT